AGGAAACACAAAACACTTATCCAAGTGTATCTTACATAAACCACGACTGATGATCAAGCAATGTTGTACGCACGAAGGAACGTTGACTCCTGCGACTAGGGCGTGGCAGCATCCGTCCTTTTATCTCCAAACCTGCCCCTAACAAGCCCCGGCTGCATAATGAATCTTGTATCCCGAAAAGACTCACAGCAGACATCTGCTGAGTCACAACAGGTAACCATATACATTTTCTTAAATAAAACAAATAAATACAGAATAGCAAAAGTGTAGCCCAGTGGCAAATCCTCAACAGAAAACTATAGTCCATACCAGTGGTGGGATTCAAAAATGTTTACTACTGGTTCTGTGGGCATAGCTTTGGGGGTTTGGTGTGGCTTTGTGGGTGTGGCAGGGGAAGGTTACTGCAAAATCCCCATTCCCTCCCCACCCAAGTAACCTGCTTTCCAGCTCCGTTCTCATGTTCAGGGCAACGAAAGAAGATCAGCTGGGAGGCAGCAGAGACCAGCCTATTTGCCGGTTCTCCGAACTACTCAAACTTTCTGCTACTGATTCTACAGAATCTGTCAGAACGGGCTGAATACCAACTCTGGTTCATACATCTAAATGGTCTCTATAGAGGTCTCTGGCTGCCACCTCTGGCATGCGTACCATAGGTTCGCCATCACAGATCTATATTGTCAAATTTTGAAAGCTTTTATGCATTTTTAACATAGCACTAAACTACTGTACTATAGAAAACACATCTAATAAAATGCATCTTATCAAACCATGTATCTTGTCTGATGCTTCGCCTCTCTAGGATGATTTATTTATTTATTATATTTATAACTATAAATTTATTTAAGTTTATGCTATCCACTTCTGTTAGGAGCATTCAGTGACTGAAAGCACACTTTCCTGCATGACTGCGTAAAAGCATCATTTTATTAAAGTCTGCACAACAGGGGCATATTTTCAATAAATTTATCTGACATTTATCTCAAAATAATAATAATATTAAATTACTGGTTTATGATGGATGGGTAATAGCTGTGTGAAATAAGAAGCATTGCATAATCATTCAAATATTCGGAAAATAATGCAGGACATTAATTCAAATAAAATTTCCAAGCACTAAATTTGTTGAAAACATTCAGTCCAAATCTTTAATGCATTTTTCAGTAACTTAAAATGTATTAAAATGAATATTAACTGGAAAGGCAATACATACATTTTGAAAATAAATGCAGAACCAGAAGGGAAAGTTATTGTCTCAAATATGCGAGAACCACTCAATCATGGGACAATAAAAATTAGATGGAGAGCTTTGAATCCAGAGTAAGTAGAAGGACCAAAAGAAAAAGATCATATCTCATCTCAAACAAATCGGCCATTAATTGGTACAAAAAGAGATAATCAAAGAGATTATCAAAAATCCAAAAAGGAAAGAAAACATCCAAACTCTCTCTCACCAGCAATTAACACCCAGATAAACAGGGATTAACACTAAGATTAGCACTAGATCAACCATCAAGAAGCAAACAATACCCCAATGAAGGAATTGCCAAAGGAGCTAACAGTAAACAGCCCAATCAAGTAACTACCAAAATCACCCTTTCAACACTGACAGGGCAAGCTAGTTGTATATAAAATGAGAGCAGACCCAACTGCCTGCTAGCAGTGATGGTATTACCTAGTTGGGTAATGAAATATCTGCAAGCAAACACCCAAGCACAGAAAGCCCTGGGGGCCCCATAGTTCAACCCAGAGCTACAAATATTCTCTTCTATCCATAGATCAATCAGGATGAAAATACATTCTATCAAGAACATAACTTTTTCTATTTCTTATTTGACTTCCAAGCCCCAATGTGCTAATAACAGCATAGGAATACCAAATGAACTCTCAGTGAAATCACTGAGCTAGCACAACGTTACCACAAAACCAAAATATATCTTTGCACAAACATCTTACCAAGATATGCTGCTGCAGCACTAAAACATTAATCCAGGAAAGCTGAATTGCTGGTTTCTTTAAACTCCATTAAACATCCAATAATAGGGAGGCCATTAATAACAGAGCCGTGGGTTAGATGCAGTAGTGGATTTTTGCCGGTTTGCACTGGATCGAGCAAACCGGTTGGTGAATTTTACTGATCCAGTAAGAGGAGGTTTGACCGGTGGACCCAGAAGTAACTTCTGGAACGCCTGCCCCAGCCCTGTTGCTCGCTCACCCATCGCAACTCGCTCGCTCCCCTGCCTGTCTGCACTAAACTAGGCTAGCCCAGCCCACCGCTCACTGATTGGCTGGAGTCCAGCCATCAGTGAGCAGGCTGGAGGTGACCCGTTTAAAAGCATGGCGCCAATGGCCAACATTCCTCTCTTTCTCGTTCCCAACTGACAGCTTGCTGATTCGTCATCCCTTCGCTTTGCCTTCCAGCAGCTTGCTGCTTCCCTCAGGTAAGCAACTAAGTGCAAGGGGAAGCGGCGGCCTAGCTTTCATGAGGGAAGGCCTAAGTTCAGGCCTTCCCTAGCGAAAGCTGCGGGCTGGCATATGCCATGCTGCCAAAAGCCCCCCGCCCCCCCCCTCTCCAGCCTCGCCTGGCTGGCTAAGCCTGCCAGGCAGCATGCTTAGCGACAACCCTTGGCCCTCCAGTCTTTCCTGTCCTGCTGCCTCGCTGCCTGCCTGCTCCCTGCTACATTCATCCATCGCATTGGATCCATCGCATTGGAGAGCTGCTAATTCTGCCTGCTGGTAAGTGACTCAGATTTTTTTCTTTTATTTTTTTAATGTATTTTAAAATAATATTTTATTTATTGTGCATATAATTTTTTAAAAATAGTTTTACTTAAAAGTATTGAGTATAGAATATTTTAAAATGGTTTACTTCAATTTATTNTACTCCCCCTCCTTTCTACTATGACAACGCAGGGAGTTGACACTAGCAGTGTTAAATGGCCGGATGCCCTTCCTGTCACCAATGAAGAACTTTGTTCAGCAGATATATTCTCATTGTGCCCAGAGAGAGAAATATCTAACATAACAGTTCCTGCTATGACGAAATATTAAATTAATGTGGCTTTGGATGCCCTAATCTTGAAGAATCAAACATAAATTTCATAGAATGCTGTGTGGTGTGTGTGTGTTCCCAGTGAGAGGTAGTCCTTGACTTATGACCACGATTGAGCACCAAATTTTGGTTGCTAATCAAGACAGTTGCCAAGTGAGTTTTGCCCCATTTTATGATGTTTCTTGCCACAGTTGTTAACTGAATCACTGCGGGGTTTTTTCGGTTAGTAACATGGCTGTGAAGTGACTCTGGCTTCCCCACGGATTTTGCTTGTCCGGAGGTCGCAAAAGGGGATCATGTGACCCTGCCTGGAACATTCATATGCCAGTTGCCAGTGTCCGAATTCTGATCATGTGATCATGCTGCAAAGGTTGTAAATATGAACAATGGTCGTGAGTCATTTTTTTCAGTGCTGTTGTAACATCGGAGGGTCACTAAACCAATGGTTTTAAGTCAAGAACTACCTGTACATAAAACCAGCTGGTCTTTTGGTGGCCCTGGGATGAACTCAATGTCAGGGTTCCAACAGATGCCCTAATTAACTCATGAGCCTCCAACCAAGTTTCAAAAGAAATCCAGTGTCAGGGTTCCAAATAGCATTCAAAAGTAAATCAGAGTCCAAGGCAAAGAATTGCTCAAAGTTCTAATTTATTAAGAGAGCCATGTTGGCACATCTGGAAAAACCCGAATCTGAAAGTTTCCCGGTTTTCCCCACCCAGATGAAAGTTCAAGATCATCCCCACAAGACCATCACATGGTCCAATCTTCCACTGCCATGCTAGCAGTTCCACCTATCCAATTCCAGTCAGGTGCAGAGCTGCAAAGACAAAGGATGACCTTGGCTTTCTAGAAAGAATGTTGTTATGGCTCCATAGCATCTAGCCCTTTACAATCCCCACTCCCATTTTCCCACAACAGAAAATGCATAGTAGAATAATAGAAAGTGTGGCAGGCCAAAGATCCAAAAGAAAAGATGGCTGCCTGCCTGACATCTAGTTATTTATTAGGAGCAACATGTCAGCACTTTCCTGAGTGAAGTCAGTTCTGCCCCACATAATTTACGGCTCAACTATGACTTGTTCCCCCCCTCCTCCCAGTGTCCAACGAGGCACTTTCCCAAGCTGTAAAACCCATGGCTCCGGTAATCTGAGACCCAACCTTGCGAAAGATATGCATGGAATGATCTCCTGAACGTGGCTGCTGAGCTGCTCCATCAATTCTTCCCCCCTCCTGCCCATGGCAACTCGGGAGCAGGCCATGAATGCTTTGCGAGTTGACACTCAACAGTGGAGACAGGGTGCAGGGGAAAAAGTCCTAACGCAACCAATGAAAAAGCCATGTTACATCTCATGCAGGGCTGGGATTTCTCTGCTCTACTTTCCTAAGTTTTTGGGAAACTTTGGAGACAGTTAAGAATCAGTATCGAGCCTATCCTAGGGCATGCAATGTAATTTGGGGTGCGGGGTGGGTGGGTTGTTCCTGCTTCCAAACTGCATCAGCCTTAGAAAAAGATTTTAAAAGTAATTTAAATTGCCAGTACGGCCGTTTCTCCTTTAATACTGTTTTGCATTCAAAAAGATTTTTCCAACATGTTCTCACGCGGAGGAAGCTTTCTCTCCTAGGCAATGTTCCCTCTAATTTTTTTTCAGTGTGAGCGGAAAAGTATAGTGTTNCCTCTGGACAGGTTGCAGTCAAGAAGACGCATCACAGGATGGTCACTTGTCTCTACTACTTGGATCTCAAGATAGGAATCCACCACTTTTGCCCGTCCCAAAGGCCTTGGTCACCTCCGAAAAGCAGCCCCCCCGAAAGATCTTAATTGATCTTCGGCCCCTCCTGGAGAACGCCATGGATCCACTGGACTCTTGGGAAAAGAAACCATTGGAGAAACAGCAGCTGCAGGAGAGGTGTCCTCCTCCCACCTCTGGTGACTCCAGACATGAGGGTCTCCTGGGTGGAGGAGGAGGAGGTGGAGATCAGGCTACCGAAAGGCCTGCCGATTTTCACAAGGATCGTGAGATTCCCAGAGTTCATCTCTTCTTGCCTCCTGTTGGAGCCTCCAAGCTTTACAGGAAGAAGATTAAGGTCTCCAAAAGAAGCATTTGGGTACCTCCAGGAGAATCAACCCAGCTTCGGAAAATCACCTTGCCTGCCATCCAACCACAGTTCCAAATGCCACTTCTCTTCTCCAAGACTAACCTCCAGAACCATGCTCCACTCCAGGAAAAGAGACCAGCAGAGTCAGAAAGAAGACCAGAAGAAGCTTCTTGGGGGCCGGTAGGCATCTTTGTACTTGAGGGGGGGGGGGACAGGCCGAAGTGGCTGGAGGTGGGGATTCCTTGCCTGTCTTGGGGGACGTGGGCACTGCAATCCATTTAGTAGAAAGTGTTGGGAGAAATGTCCTTCTGGGTTCAGTTCCAAGTGGGGAGAAAGACACTGGAAACAATGGTGGCTGTTTGGAAAGATGGTTTTAATGGTGGACAGGATCACCTGACTTGAGGTCCTGGGCCAAAAGGTACAAGGGTGAGAGACGGGGGTGGGTTCTGGCTGCTGCTACTGCCGGTTCGCTCAGGGACATGCTGTGCGCGGATGTGCATTACTAAAAAAAACGATTCTGCTCATGCGTAGAAGCCAAAAACAAGTCGGGGGTGCCTACAGTGCCACCGAGAGAACCGGTTTGGGGTTCGTGGCAGGCCAAGTTACTACGTTTTTGGCCGAACCAGTCTGAACTGGTGGGAACCCACCTCTGGTAAGAGGGAGAAATAGATTTGTCAGACTCCCATGGGGCCATGCAGGGGCATCTCTGTAGGCCCATGATGGCGAACCTATGGCAGGGGTGCCACCTGTGGCACACGGAGCCATTTGTTAGGGCACGCGAGGTGTTGCCTTGTCAGCTGACTTCAGCCTTCTTTTTTGGCTGTTTTTCGTCCTCCGGAGGCTTCCCTTCACCCTTCCAGTTCGCCCATAGGGCCGTTTTTTCACCCTCTGGAGGCTTCAGGGAAGCTTCCTGAAGCCTCCAGAGGGCCTCTGGGAGGGGGGGAGGCTGTTTTTGCGCTCCCCAGGCTCCTAGAAAGCCTCTGTAGCCTGGAGAGGGTGAAAAACAGGTCCATCACGTGCCAAAAGCGGGGTGGGAGGGGAAGTCGTGTGCGCATGCGCATGGGGGCCCCTCATGCATGCATGCTCGTGGGGGCTTGTGCACATAGTATTATGGGTGTGGGCACACCTGCGCATGACCCCCCTGTGCTCCCCCCACCTTTTGGCATGCAATCCAAAAAAGGTTAGCCATCACTGGCCTACGGGGTCCTGCTTGAGCAGGGAGTTGGACTAGAAGACCTCCGAGGTCCCTTCCAACTCCGTTCCAAATTCTATTATTCTCTGTACAGGAGGTAGAACATCTGTGCTATGTTCTGCTACCTGTATTAAATAGTCAGTGAAGAAGGATTAAAAACAGAGAAGTCCACTTGATTTGCTAGGCAAATCCTACAGCCAACTTTCTGCTTTCCGTTTTCCCCAGCCCACCGCTTCCTCACCGGATTTTCAACTTCCCACCCAACTGCTTTTGCAAAAGCTGCAGGAAACTACAACTAGTCACGACCATCTGCTGATTGCAAAGGTCCTGCGTTCCTTGCGGGAAGAGCTGCTGGGGAGCAAATCAGATCAGAGGTAAGAATCAGCCCCTGCCGCCGCCGCCGCCGCCTCCTCCTCCTCCTCCAATACCTTTCTGGCACTTTTCTGTGTAGTAATTGCATCTGTTTCAGAGGTGGTATTCAGCCGGTTCTGACCGGTTCTAACGAACTGGTAGCGGAAATTTTGAGTAGTTTGGAGAACCGGCAAATACCACCTCTGGCTGGCCCTGCCCCCATCTATTCTTTGCCTCCCGAGTCCCAGCTGATCGGAGTCCCAGAGGGTCTTCTTTTGCTGCTTTGCACAGAACGGAGTTGGAAATCAGATTAGTGTGGTGGGGAGGGAAGGAACGAGGGTTTTACAATATCCTTCCCCCAGGAGTGAGGAGGGAATGGGGATTTTGCAGTATTGTTCCCCAGCCACGCCCACCATGCCATGCCCAAGCCACTCCCAGTAGTAAAACCAGTAGTAAAAAAAATTGAATCCTACCACTGATCTGTTTGTCTGAAGCAGTTATTCCAGCAGCCTCCTCCAGCCCCATCTTCCGCTGATTATCCTGGGCCTGTTGTTCCATCATCCACTGGTTGGTTGTCCCTGGCACACAATGCCCACACAAGGTATGGTTCCCTAAGGAATGTCTATGGAGATTTTAAACCATCCAGGTCATGGTTGTCCCAACGATACTTTTCCAAAAAGCAATTGGACTTTCTTGACCTTTTTCTTCAAAAACATTTCGCTTCTCATCCAAGAAGCTTCTCCCGTGTTTTTTTTTAGGGAGAAGCAGGAGGACTTCCTGGAGCTTCCTCGGATTCAGTCCTGGAAACATGGCAAAAGAGACATGGGAGAGAAGGCCTTTGATGCCACTGATATGGAGACAGCCAAGAACAGGTTAATTAGATTGATCAGGAATCACAACAGCTTTCCTCAAGGCACAGGTGTGTTACAAGTGGCCCCAGGACCTTGAGTTGCTACCTCAGAAGAATCCAGCAGGATTAACAGAAAAAACTCACGCCTGGATCCCCATAGAAACACATTCAAAGGCTGGAAATCCATCACCTGTATCCAGTTCCTGCTATCATCATCATTTAACAACACCATAATCCATTGCGGGGTGGAATCTGGACGACTGAATGGAACTAGCTGTCAAATTTCCTAATGTTGCCCTAATTAATTCATAATTATCGAGTCAAGTTTTTAATTAAAAAAAACAGTGATTTATTTGGTGCTCCATTAGGCAATATCTGTTCGCAGTCAAGCCTGTCCTTTGATTGTCTTCTGAACTTTACCCCTGTTCCTTCCCTCCTTCCTTCCCAGTCTGTGTCATAGATCACATTCCCCTGTAAGATGCACCCTTCCCAAGCCGGCTGCAGTAATCTGAGATCCGACTTCAGCCGACAGTATGCGTGTGTTGTCATATAACTCCTTGTGTAGGTGTGGCGGTCACCCATGGCCCAGTGCATAACAGGGCATGCGCAGCCACGCTGAACCATACAGGAAAAAACAAACTCCTAAAAGACATAACATCCTGATAGTTCACTCTAGATGTGCCTTACCCAACGATGCCCAGGATTTGACCATATATAGACAGAACTTCCCTGANGGTGGTGGCAGGCTAGTTCGCCTCCTCCTCCTCCAACAGGCAACAGCACTGCCGGATTCAGTTGTAGCCGCCTGCAAAGGACTTCCACACGTTTCTTTAAGAAATCTCTGCGCGGCAGATAAAAACTGCTGCGCGGGATTTTCTTGCAACGTGCGCGGCCGCGCAGGCGCGCACCTTAGAGGGAACAGTGCTCCTAGGCCTGAGGAAATAGAGAAAGGTTAGCTAACTATTCCAAGGCACTGTGTTGGACTTTTGGGGTTGAAATTACTGGACTTCCCTGAGGAGCTATGGAGATACAGCGCACTGATGGTGTTACCTACATTGGAAATGAAACATCTGCAAGGAAATAACCAAGCTCGGAGTGCATGAATGACCCCCCACCCCCAGTTCAACCCTGAACTACAAATATTCTGTTTTACCAAAGTCATCTGTGCCTCGCCTTCAAACCTCCTTGTAGAAGATTCTGAGTCACATTCTCAGCCCACCCCACCCCACCGGGTAGTTGTAGGGAATAGAAAGGAAAGAATATTAGGTACAGTATATTAGATATGTTCAGCGCCTTGAATTATTTATTAAATATTAGCCCATAACCCAGCATTGCCCAGGTATTTATTTATAGGTGGAAAATGTCCAGATCAAATGTAATTCCTAATGTTGGATTTTCCCCCTTACCAGAGGGAGCCCCCTTGGGGAGTACTGTGAAGCCGTTACCATGGCAACTCCGCTGCGCTGCACAGTAGAAGCCACTTTACAGTGGTACAATAGAAGCCATTTTAAGGCACAACAGGCTGTATCTTAATAGAACACTTCTCCCCACCCCACCCACCTGAGGGCTATTTGTTTCCAGAGAGTAAATCATCTGTGTACCAAATTTAGTTGAAATTGCTTGAGGCGTTCCAGAGTTACGTTGGAACGTACACACACACAGCCATTTATATATATGTATATATGTATGTGTGTGTCTGTGTGTATAGCTGATAAAGGAGGAGAACCTGTGGCTTAGTAGCTAACACAACTGCCTAATATGTAATACAGCACAGGTTCAAATCCCAGCAAGGGGATGGGCAACCGGTGGGGGGAAAAAAAAATAAAAAAAAAAAATTATATTTTTCTCTTTTTTTTTTTTTTTTTT